GTTGTAGTCGCCTAAGGTTCTCTCACTGTTCCTGTTGAGGTAGTAACCATCCCTGGTTCATTCATCACCGTTTGAAGTTCCAGATTCAATTCTTGTAACCATTCAGGACACATCTATACAAAGAATCTGAAGACCAGCTCCTGTAACAGGTCAGGTAATCATTTTTCTTTTGCAGGTACGCAAGTTCTCACTAAGGAATCTCTTACGCAATCAACATCCAGATGGCATCTATAAGCCCATCCACTCATCCATCATCTCTTAGCATGGCATCTATAAGCCCATCATCCTATCCATCAATCTCCAAATGGCATCTATAAGCCCATTCCCATCGTCACACTACTATGTGAGCGCAAATTTCTGGGCACTCTAGTGTTCAATCATCTTCCACCTTCGGATTACGAAAGGCACGTCAGCCAATCTGCATCCTCAGGTCTAAGAAGATTGAACAGGGGCAACTGTTGTACCCCAAAATTTGCCCTCCCATATTCTTCAAGATTTGCAAAGAGCATGCTTCAAAATTCCCCAAGGGTTGCACAGTTCAAGGGCCTCCTAACAGTAAAAAACTAGGGTTTTGGTTCTGACAAAGAAAATGAAGTTTCCAAGGGTCCAATCAAGTCCCACATGCCTACAAACATGGTCAAGCATCCTCATGTCAAGTTTCAAGACTTACAGCACAAGATTGCACAGTCAGAAACCCTAATTGCACTACAGTCAACTGCAGGGGCAAAATGGTCATTTGACAGTCAAAAGTTCAAAATTTTGGTCAACATCTCATTTTGAAGCCACAAACATCATTTGATCAATTCTTGATCATGATTCTCAAAGCTTGGCTCAAAAAGTCTCAAGATGCAAAAGTTTCCATATTTGGACAGTTGAAAAAGTCAACTGTAGCTTGACCAAGGCATAACTTCCACATGGATTATCAGAAAAAATTCCATCCAAAGCTCATTTTGAAGATAAAGACATTTCCTACAACTCCTCTTCACACTTCAAGTCCAAGAAATGCTCTCACAAAAAGTTATCAATTTCAACATTATAGGTCATTTTCAAAAGTCAACAAAAGGGGACTTTAAGTCAAAGGCCATAACTTGAGATTGGTAAATCAAAATGACATGGGACCAAAGACATTGGTTAGAGGACTTCAAGACCTTTCCAAAATGTCCAAGAACATGATCAAAGCTTAAAAATTGAGCAAGATATGCCTTGTGGAAGTTGGGAAATTTTTGGATATTTTGAAAAGTCAACTTTGCTTCAAATGCCTTAAAAATGCTAATGGGCTTCTTTTTCTTCCAAAATTCATCATCCAAAGCATGTTCACGACCATTTGGCCCAAAGGGAAGTTTTTTCATCATTTTTATTTATTTATTTGAATTTTTAATTGCTAATAATTCATTTAATTAAAATAAATATGTGGAAAATACCAAAACAAACTTTTTAAATCTTTTTATGCATGGAATAAGCTCAAGATTTCGTGCATGATCAGATTTGGAAAGAATCAAGGTAATTGAACATGATTTGTATCAAATTTGCATGAAAAAAGATTTGAAAAGATTAGGCAAAATCACAAAATCAAAAGCATTGATTCCATGGATATTTGGCTTATTTTGTTGACCTAAAACACTCATACATATATATACATGATAACCCTAGTGCTCAGGACCTCCAAGCTGCGCCAGAAAAGAGAAGCCAAGTTTGAGTTTTTGTGAAAAAAGTCCAAAACTGAAAACCACATTCCAGTGCGATTCAAGGCCAAACAATCATTCCATTGTGTTCCTGAGGCTTCAAGGAACGTGTCTAAATCAAAAACATCATCCCTAACATCAAGAATTGGTAATTAAAAGTCAGACTGTGTCCTTCTTTTTGCATAATCGTGTTTTATTATTCAGGTCATATCCATGCATTTTGATTCTTGATTTGTACTAATGAGTTGATTCTGAAGCTAGCAGTATGATTTAATTGAAGAATCATTGCCTATACGCGATTTCACCATGAACGATTATTAGGGTTCTTCAAGTTTTAAATTGGGCATTTATGCATATTGTAAAATTAGGACACCTCAATGCCATGGTTGAAATCAGGAAACTTGGACGATTTGAACACATACCTCGCGATTAATTTATGATTAGCAGGGTGTTAATCGCTATTTTTGTATACACTATTTAGTGGGGGTTTAAAACCCCCGCTATTCAATTGATTTATGTTTCAGGAAAAAATGCAACAAGGAAGAAGAAGACTAGGTGGCGAATGATGGTTGGATCATTTGAATTCCACGCGCGTTTTTCTATTTTTTAAGCCACTAACCCACTTTTCTCTTATAATAATTAGTTGTCCTTATATAATCAAAACGCGCTCACAGCTCCATTGGCAAGGTATTTGATTGGTAATCTCTGGGACCTGGGTTCGAACCCCAGGTCCCCCTCCCTTTCAATAATATTTTTCATAATGTCATCCTATGAAGTTCAAGCTTCAGCGTCCACCATGCAACTCACAATCCAGGCATGCCACGCATCTCATGATCCCCATCCAAAAGTCCAGATTTGAGGAACACCCTAGGCGTCAGTCAACGCGTGCACACGCTTCCCAGAAAAGTCAAAAGGGTCTTGAAACAGATGGGCCTAATTGCTAACAATTCCTCCTGATTGGGGACAGAACCCCCCCAAGGTTTTGTAATTCTTTTCTTTTTTTTATTTTATTTGCTTCAATTATTTCTTTTTTAATTCTTTAAGCTAATTTATTTTTTTCATAAAAATATATAAAAATAACAAAAAATCAGAAAGTCATAAAAAAATTAAATATATTTTATTTAACTAATATTTTTGTAAATAAAGTCTTGTATCAATTAATTAGTTTTATTCTAGGGTTAATTTCAATATCTTTTCTTAATAAATTAAAATTGGTAGAATTAGGTTTTAATTATTTTTACCTTTTCTTTTTCATAATTAATTATTTATTTTTATAAATCAAATGGCATTAATTAATTAGGTTTAATTTTAGGTAATTTTCATATTTTCTTAATAAATTAAAAATAACTAGAATTAGGGTTAATTAATATTTTAATTTCATTTAATTCTCATTAAAAATTCATAAAATACAAAAACCTCAAAAATAATTTCTTTTTATTTTATTTTAATTAATTTGTTCATAATAATTTAATTTCATTAAAAAGGGTCCAACGCCCTCGCTTTCAATTTTAATTCAATTCGCGCATTTTTATTTCTTATAATATTAATGTAATTCTCCCAAAGTTGTGTAACTCGGACATTTTATATTTCTCGCACTTTATTTCTTTATTTTATGTCAAATCGGGTCCTGGATTAAATTTGGCTATGTGGACCCGCGCCTTTGTAATAGTTTAGGAACTTTACATTTCTCGCAACTTTTTAACTGTTAATAATGGCCTGCAAGAATGAATGACAAAATAAAAACAAACGCGTAGATCACCCATGACATGACAAAAGACAAAAATATCTGAAAACGATACACAAATCACACACCACCCCTAGGGTACGCCTCACTGTTGCCTTGCCTCGAAAGGTGATCGTCGAATAGAGGATGTCCTAGTAAGTCCTCATGATCCGGGAACCTGGCATGAGGGTAGCTTCTAAGGTATCTTCCTATTGCTCTGGTGATCACCATGTCCCGAACCTCGAATTGACCAAAATAACTCCAATAGTGATGCTACCTACCTCTCAATGGTGGGATGGCACTACTTTAAAGGACATCTACACAGACGAATTCCTTAGGGTAGGTAGACGACTCTAGATACTTGCTCTAATTTCAAAACAAATCAAAAATACTTTTCACACCGACACCTTTTTAAAAAAGCTTTCGAAAGCAACTTTTCAAATACTCTTGAGGACTGATACAAGAGTCGAACTGGAATTTTCAAAGAAACTTTTTTTTAAAACCCACAGTTGAAAAGCAAACAAACCATTTTTGAAAACACAAATGAGCATGTATCTAAGAGCCCATGGATAACCATGGATAGAAAGTGTGCTAACACCTTCCCTTTCTATAACCTACCTCCCGAACCGAGAGCAATCTCTATAAGGAATTTTTTTGTGCTTTTGTCCTTTCCATTTGGAGAAAATAAAAGACGGTGGCGACTCTTGCTTCCGCGACATTTCGCGAACCAGCGTTAAACAGTCAGTTCCAGATCCACCGATCACAGGTTGTTTCGAGGAACCTTCAGAGAATCGTGTGTTTATTTCCACACTCTGTTTGACAAGTGGTCTCAAGCTTCTCCAAAACATCCTCAAAGCACAGTCAAGATTTCATAATTATTGGTTCGCATATCCATCAATGTTCCTGGGAATGTGAGGGAGGATCAAGTTCGTATATTGATTCAAAGCACATTAACCAAAAGGTCAACGTTTACAAATTCAAATTCAGGAGGTCAAGAGCAGATTTGTGTTTAGAACGATATGGAAGTTATCAAAACTTTATAGGACATTTTCTGGATTAGAAGTTTCTTGACCATTTTGAATTATGATTCATGGTGTTATAATTTCTTCAAATCATATCCTTGTGATAATTCAAGACAGGAACCGTGATTATTTTTCAAGATATCATGTCAAATCCATGGATTCAAGTTCATTTATAATTCAAAATATGAAAGGAAATTATTCCTTTCATGAGTTTGGAAGTTCCAAGTCAATGTTCAAATTAAAACATCAAGCGCATCAATTCTACACGCTGCTTGGAAATTAAGATGTTCATCAATTTTTCAAGTCTTTTATCCAAAGATCACTCTCAAGATTCAAAATCAATAGATCATGTTCATAATATTCAAAGTGAAATCAAATTCTATAATCCACTTCATGATTCAAAGTTCAAAACTCTAAATTCAAGTTTATTGATTTCAAATGGACAAAAGTTCAATATCATTCAAAGGTTCTCATTCAATTTTCAAAACGTATCAAAAATATACAATTTCAAAGTTCCAAGTAACCATCGTTTCATTCATTTGCAAATTATACAAGTTAATGCCCAAGTTACATTCAATAAAGTTTCAAAATACAATCAGAAAAGAAATTCTTCAAGTTTCTATGCCTAAAGACTTCATCTTCAAGGTCTCTCAAATTCTCCATGCCTTCATTATCAAAGCTCCATCTTCCAATCTTCATACTTTCTTCATCAACTAGTGAAAAAGAAAACAAGTGTGTGATTAGCAATATTTTTCAGCAATGCAAAAGAGCTTAAAGGCGCATAAAAAACATGTAAAAAGCCCAATATCATATTGCAACCCCTACAAACCAGTACAAAAAATAGCAGCCTGCTGCCCATTTTTCCAGCCCTGTTTCAACATAATAACAGTCCAATTTGTATGGTATTTTTGCTGTCCAAAACAGCAACCTACAACAGTCCAGATGCTGCCAAAAAACTGCTATAAAACAGTCTGCTAACAGCCTGCTGCCCTGCTCCAACCTGCATAGAAATACCAAGTAGAACAAGACTAAAATTACACACAAATGGCTAAAGAAAAACTACATGAAGAAGGCATCAAAACAGTTTGTCAAAACAATTTAAATATTCTACTATTTCCCCCCCTAAATGTCTTGTTCTTTCTCTATAAAAGCAAACCTTCATCAAAAGAAAAAGGGACAGAAGTTTGTTCAAAAACACACCAAGAATCACAGCAAATAATCAGAATAAAATAAGTTTGAGAATCAACAAGAGAAGGAGGGAGAACTTACTATTTTTGAAGCTCCATCGGAGAGACTCCGATAGGTATTTCTCCTCATTATTACTTCTACATAATTTTCTCGTATAAAGCAGAATCTGTTACATTCAACGCACATGATTTATTTGCGTCAACTCATAATGCACTTCGTGTAGTAGTAGTAATAATAGTATTAATAAAGGAGTATTAAAGCTTCACAAAGTAGTAGAAAGAAAATCCATAACATAAATCCGTATTTCTTTGCAAATTGAGCCCATCGGTTTAAAATTCGGTCCTCTGTACCAATCATAGCAGCAGGTTTGAAGATCGTGGCCTTAGGTAATTCTCTAAAAAATGTTTCTTCGGCAACTGCTTTACATCTAAGCATCCTGGAGGAAGATGAAGGGCATGCACCTAAACAAGAAAACTTGAATGAATCTCATGATACCACCATGCTCTTTGGAAATCTTTGCAAGTTTCTAGGCCATGTGATAGAGCACTTTATCTTAGTTGTAGTTCTTGTCTCATAATCCCTTCCAATAATATTGATGACAACATAAACCCGCCATCTTCTCACATCCATATGCAATGACGCAAAAAAGAAAAAAAAACAGAAGTGAATATTAAAAACTATAGAAATTAGAGAGATTATGCTTTAATATTTGTTCAACCTTCTCCAAAAATCAAAAATAATACCCATATTTTCCATACACCAAACAGTCCCTTCCAGTACTCCATGTACCGCCACTATTCTCACACTACAAATTCTGAAATCCTATCGACACATTGAATGTCATACCTTCTTTAACTATCCGGTCATTCTTCGCATTAATATCCAAACCCGACTCTCCAAACTCAATAACAATTCTTGTCCCAACAGACTTTGTCAAGCAGGAAACCATGTGAGGGGCATCCTTATCCACAATAGAAACTGCAGCTAGATACGCAGTACCCAACTTATTTCCAGGCTTTAGAGACCCAATAACAGCCTCATGCGCTTTCAGAAGAATCTCATAAGACTTACTCTGAATAGGGTCAGTATCAATCAAGAAAGTCCTAGCTATATTCGAGCAATAGCTCTTGTACCGTGCATCGAAACTACATATAATTACACTGCCAGAGGCATAGTAAAGCGCCTCATTGTTGCTGATAGCACTAGGTCTAAGATCAAACTTCCCCCTACTCTGAAAAAACCAGATGATAACAGACATCAACATTACTCGCCTTTAGTTTACAGTTAACTTTCAAAGGCTCTAATATAACTTTCTCTGTCTCCTCCATCAATGCAGGATGAACTTTTCTTCTCATCATCAAATCCCTTCAGTTTTCACCTTCCGCAAGCCAGAAACTCTTCACTCAATCTGTCCTTCACCGTTCAGCTATCATACATCATCACATTTAACCATACAAACTGGATCACACTCCACATTCACTCTCTGTTTGACCGAAACAAACCCTCACGGCAACCACACTTCTGTAAACCTCAACCAACATCCATCAACCACCATAACCCTTTAATCCACCTGCTACCTCTAAACCACAAGTCGTAGTACCTATTCCGCTCTTTCCAGCTGTACTCCCTCCGTCTTCTTCCTCTATATACCAAATACATTCCAATTTACTACCTTTGAGCTTTTAATTTTCAAACCTATATCACTGTTATGTTTCAACAAACAACATCCGCCCACCGCTAAACTCAGATTTGTTGTTGATTATTGAAGATTGAAGAACGAATATTACGTTTTGTTGAAGTCAATGTTGTAGATCGTGAGGTTGTTGAGAGACACGTTGAAGAGGGAGATACGGTGTTGAAGATTGACGCGTAGATGATGAAGAGAGTTGATGCAGAGATGAAAGATTTCAAAAAGGATTGAATATTGAAGTGTTGATAATGAACATTTGGAGAGAACCGTGATAAATTCGAGGGATTGAGGACAAGAGTTAATTTTGTTGTTGTTTTATCACTTGAGTAGAATATGAAGCCAGGGAATTTTAGAAGAGAGAGTTTAATTTTGTTTCACGATAAGCATAGAAGATAGGGTTTAATTGGGAATGATGTTTAATCTGCATATTTTCCCTTCCCAAGGTTGACAGTATCCGGCGCCTTTCTCTTGTTTTAGGGGTTCAAAAACCTTTCTTTCTCTCTTCTAAACCGGGTCCGCCTTAGGCCCTTTTTTTAAAAAAATTTCATTGTCAATTTTTCTCATGATTTGGGCCTGCCAACATCCCTAGCCCAGCTAAAATACTGCCTACCAGCACACCCCCTATACTGCTTTACACCCTTATTCTAATGTCAAGTTTAATTTATATATTTTATTAATTTTCTTAGCTTAATTTAATTAGTAAAATTAATTGATTAATCATGAATTTTTCTAGTATTAGATAATCCTTATTAATTTTTACTAATTAGTTTAAGTTTGGAATTAATTTAGTGTTTTTTTAAGAATAATTTTTAGTTAGTTTGATGACTTTAGAATTTTTAGTTAGTTTAGAATATCTTTAGATTAGTTAGATTAAAATTGATCTAGTAATCTTAAATTCTTAATTTAGTTCAAATAACTTCTTTAGATAATTAGTCATATCATTTTTTCATTTATATTTGATTGCCTTTGTCAGTTTAAATTAAATTTCTCGATGCCCTTTTATTATTAATCTGTTTGTTAGATTTATTCTCTTATAAATCTCAAATGCTTATATTTTAATGTTTATATTGTTTTGCTTGCTCGATTCAATCCAAGGGAAATGTTTTAATTTTGTCAACTTCATGTCATCTAACATATCTTATACGATTATGCGAATCCCTTCATTCATTTTTGTTTTACTATTTTGTTAATCTTAAGTTAATTTTCCTAAAAGACTCAATTTTAAAACTCACATACTTTAAGTAAAAACTTCGACACTAGGTCGTCGTATCTTCAAAATTACATTCACACCCATTTTAACCAAACAAACAATTTTAATCAAACAAACAATTTTAACCAACAAAAACAGATATGTCAAAAGGTTCATGCGGAGTACCGCAGATGCATTGGGTGTTAGTACCTTCCCTTTGTATAACCAACCCCCGAACCTTTGGTCTCTTTCAAAAAACGCATTATATTTTTATTACTTTTTAAGTATTACTTTACATTGCATATTTAAGGGTTTTATTTCTCTCTTTTCCCTTTTCCCTTGGAAATAATAAAGCGTGATGGCGACTCTGGCTTTTGCGAGTCGAGCTAATTAATAGTTCGATCTCCAATTTACACTGTTATATTTTTATTGCTACAGAATTAGCGACTCTGTCGGAGAGAGATTGACCTCTTGCTGGTCCATCCCTAAGTGGGTTAAGCCTAATTTGTCATATTTGTTTTTATTTGTTTTTATTTATTTGTTTGATTATATGTTATATATTATGGTTATTTGGGTGTTGATGATACTTACAAAGGACAAGTCCTATACCCGGACTAAGTTACACTTAAGAATAGGACGAAAGATATAGTTGTTAACTTTGAGAGAGTAATCCCGAAGAAGGAGACATGAAATCCCCCACTTAGTCACAGCAAATTCATCTATAAATACTTGACTCTATCACACGTTCAAGGGGCTGGCTTTTGAAGAGAGAGAGAGAGAGATTGGCCAAAAGAGAGAAAAGGAAGTTGTGAAACCTTCATAAAAATCCATATTTCTCATACACAAAAATAAACCCTTGTTCTTCCCTTTGAACCAAAGAACACAACCACTCTTCCGTCTCTCTTGCTAACTCAGAACATCCAGAGACAGCCACTCAAAGCGCCAAGCACGCTCCAGGTAAGTGTTTCTGACTTTACTTTTTTTCCATTTTGAACATCATTAGCATGTAAATATCATAGTATTAATGTTGTACATATCATTGCATGAACTAAAAAACTATGGATTATAACTTCTAGAATAATGTTAGACTCAGACTTTGGATTAGAACTTCTATGAACTATTGTGTTGTTATTCTTCTGATTTGCTATTTGCCAAAAATGAATGAGTTGTTAACGTGCTGATTAACATGAGAAAAGAGTTGAAATGTAATATAGAACTTCTGATTTTCACATGTTGATAACACATAGAACTTTTATGATTTTTTCTCACTCAACACAACACTGAACTTCTAATGACTCACTCATTGTTCTAACATAACACAGAACTTTTGAGTTCTCTTTACATGTCAAATACACTGAATTGCTGACATTCGCTCACTGTTTAGTATAATACAAAAATTCTGACTTTTGGTTCACTGGCTGAACACCACCCAGAACCTCTGTGTTTTCCCTCTAACGCTTTTGCAGGACCTCAGAGTGTACGAATCTAGAACTTCTGACCCCACTGACGTTTCCTCTGAGTCATGCGCCTGGCTTCAGAACTTCTGATCCTTGTTTCTTTGTTTGCAGTAACACGTTGTTCCTACCTTGCATTTATTTTTCCTTTTCATCATTTTAATATTAACATAAAAAAAACATAAAAACATTTTCCTTTTAACTTATTTCCTTAAAGACAAAAAAAAATATTTTCTAAACAAGTTTATCTCTTTCTTATATTGTACATATACAATATGGTTGTAATAGTAACTTAGGACTTATTTTTACTTGCAATCCCCATTCGTACATATGTATCCCCATCCCCTAAATATTGTAATAGCGTAGAATTTCATTTTCCGCGATTTACTGTTTTCCATATACTGTATAGTAACTAGGGTGTGTATGGAAAGATAAAATTAAACAAATAGACCACCACAAATCAAAGACAAATGCATGCAATCAAACACACTTGCACACATGCACCCTTAGGGTAATCTCACTTGTTGCCTTACAAAAATGGCCATGTTATGCATGTGGGATGTCTTAGCACAAACGAATTGAAAAAATACAAGATCGTACTCCCTCGATGACGCTATCAAAGTTGCCTTTCAAAATGATCTTAGTCCCTAAAAGAAAAATGCTAAGTCATATCACAACATTGCTATCATGGTCATACGATGACCCAAACGCCCGTCCCTTTACATCCAACGATTGGGCTTCTTATCAATTCAATGGTAAGATAGTAACATCTAAAGGAGGAGGAAAAGCGCATCTAAAACCTTATGAGTAGGTAGGTTCGCTCCTAGTTACTCGCTTGCTCACAATAAAAACATTTTATACACCCACACTTTCATTTGGAAACATTTTCGAAACAAACACTTTGTATATATTCTTATAGAGACGAGAATCATTGCAAAGTTACATTTTCAAAATACTTTCAAAACACATCTCACAAACACGTCTTTGAACTATTTTCGAAACAAACACTTTGTATACGTTCTTATAAATACGAGAACCATTATGAAGTTCCATTTTCAAAAATACTTTCAAAAACCACACAAAAGCATAATTTTCAAACAGAAAAGCAAGTGATCTAGCAAGTAACTAAGAGCCTATGGAAAACCATGGATGAAAAGGGTGCTAATACCTTCCCTTTTCATAATCTACCCCCCGAACTCAAAAAAACATCTCTAAAGTTCTTTCCTGTGCTTTTTCACCTTTCCTTTTTGGATAAAATAAAAGTCGGTGGCGACTCTTGCTAAACCGCAACATTTGCGAATACAAATGTGAAACCATCAAGTCAGTTCTCCCACCGTATCACAGAACTGGCGACTCTGCTGGGGAATTTGGAGAAATTATGGAGTTACCTTAGGGCTAGATCACCTTTACTTGCTTACATTGTTTGATTTGTTTGTTTTACATTTTGGTTCCTTGTTTGGGTTTATTTTAAATCCTACACCCGGGTTTGGAGGAACCTTTTAGGTAAGTAGCAATAAACTGTGAGGGAACTGTGCAGCGTATACCGACATGGTTGAAGCAGTAGATACGTTGATGTGGCACTTTGGTTGGTACCAGTAACCCTTGAGTCAGTTAAGGAGAGTACGGGGCCGCCGCATGGTGTCATCAAGCATCAACTGACCTTAGAACCTTACTTGACCAACTCGGCCATTAGGAAGTAGTGAGATAGTCGGTTTCGGTGTAAAGCTGAAAATTAGTTGATACTCGATGCTACACTCATTGAGACTTGACCCCTGAGTTTTGTTCAGTTGTGAGTCAATTGCTTACCGAACGAAGCTTGTGGGAAAGGTAAGTGATATTGAGATCCCTTAGAACCCAGTCACTATTAACTAGGACAGGTTGAGCCAACTAAACTTCAAGAGGGTACTTACCTACAAACTCCGTGCAAGCCTAAAACTAAGGACTTGTCTGCTTTGTGTGTATATGATTCTTTGTATATAAACTTGCTTACCTCTCATATCTGTGCATAACATCATAACATCATAC